CAGGTTGTGAATTATAGCGTGTGTTAAGTTAAAGGGACAGTGGAAATTAAGTGTATTGCAAAGTTGAATTGAGAAAGAATAAACTAGTTTTATTTGAGAAAGGACTTGTATAGCTGAAGTTCTTCGGAAATAATTTTTACGAGTAATTAACTAACGACTACAGACGTAACAGTATATTAGAAAATTATACCAGATTTCCATATCTAAAAGCATACAAAGCTCTATTATTGATCTAGCTCGGCTGATTCTGACACATACTGAAAATTTTAATATAATCAACGAAACAAACTACAGTACTACAGCAATTCTCCAACTGTGTCACACAAAAAAATTAATATAAAAATAATAGTTTGTAATAAGCTCAATGTGATCTTCTCGTGTACATATACAAACTACCCTCCTCACCCTCTGCCTGCATAACTTTCCCAGTGCAAGAATTTTCCTCCCCTAGTGGTCAACTAAATCACATGCAGTGTTGCCAATTTAGTTTTGCAACTTAATCAGGTTGTTTAAAATTTTGTTTGGAAAAGTAAAATCATATAGTTGTTGGTTGGAAATTTAATTATATAATATTTATCAGTTACTTTTTAGATAATCAAGTTTTCCAACAGCAAATTGAGATAGTATTTACATTGAATTGTGGAAGTTATTTACTTGATAAAATGGCCATGAAACATTTTTCAGTCTTTACTATAATGTCTTGCATCCCATCCCACCCCTCTAATTTTAGTGTTTTCTTCCCTTGAAGTTAACAAAAATTGCACAACATATCCTTCAATTGTGTCTGAAAAAAGTCACATCCTAGCCATAATGGGTAAATGTTAAGATTATTATTTTTTGCTACTATGATTTTATATTTTTTTAAAGAGCAAATCCACATTGAACTATCAGCTGTGTCCACTCTGTACTCTCGATTTTTGCATTGTATGTTTGTAAACTTACCATTATCCCACCACAGGGACTTTTAAAAATAGGCATAGGTTTGTGCTTCAAAAAAGGTTAAGAAGTGATACAGGAGCCTAAAAAGTTTGTTAATCACTGTAGTTGAATATTTATGCTTCTTTTTAACATGATAAAAAAATAAGTGCATTCAGTAATATCTTAAACAAGATAAATACGTATTTATTTATTGTTATATGCAACACAGTATAAATACCAATTACATAAGCTTTAAAAAATATTTATTGACAATAATGTTCCTACAAGGTAAAATTGTAATAGAAAGTATTTAAAGTATCTGGTCTAAAAAATAATATCACAAATTCATATATTTTTTATTACTTTTTTTTAGAAGAGAAAGTTTACAGTATGATAAGTGAAATGCGTTAAACAATGAATTACTAACTTTTTCTTCAAATTCTAAATGGTGAAAAGCTTAAATAATTTATTTTTGCCTTAGGCCACTGGAGTCAACATATGTTAAGAAAAACATATTCTTCTACTAATGCTCATTAGAGCTGGGCACTTGCTTGACATAATCAATTAACTGTGATCAATTACATTAAATAGTGTCAAGCGAGATAATCTATTAACTGAAATTATAATAAAGTTGAATAAGGTCATGAAAATAAACAATTAGCACTTTTAATTATTCCAACAATCAAATAATTGTATCATGATTTTTTGTTATTTTCAATTAATCCTAGTTTGTTCAGCTTAATCAGTGTCTTGACTCATAAAAATAGACAAATTGAGATTAGTGTTTCCAATTATTTAAACCATCCAGTAATCAAAGTATTGCATTATGTTCATTAAGTATAAAGCTGCATGATGGGCTATCTGTGCTCTGCAAACCATAAGTGTCAAAATCTGATTTGATTTATATTGCCACAAGTTTGGTTTTAGCCATCTCATGTGAGAATAATTCGTAAGTTGAATGTAATCAATTAATGAGCCCAATGATTAATGAATAGGCAAATTGCACCGACTGCCCAGATCTAGTGCTCATCATATTCCATGTTTTAAAATGAAACTTTATATATTATTTTTCCTCCTTAAAGCACAGTTTTAATAAAAATAATAATTCAACACAATTTAACTTATCAAGGTGTTCATAATATTACTATTTTCATTACTTCACGATTTGTGATTTTGCTAAAAGAAAACTTGTAGTAATTTAGCTTAAAAGGCTATAGGTTCAAGCAATTAACTTTCTCATGAAAGATCAATTCTCATACATTAAACATGTATTGTTGTTTAATTAAGTAATACTTCCCATTTAATAAATTTGTTCTTTTTTGAAGTAATCTTTATTTTAAAACAATCAAATCATTCAACTAATTAATTTTATACATTTTGGGGTTAAACACATAGTTATGTTCATTCTATATAGATTTACAGTTTGCTATAGAGTAACAGATATATCTCGTAGAGAATCTCTCTTCATTCACAGTTATCTCTTAGTATTGCAATAATAAGTTTTATTCTGATTGCATGTAGGCTACATTTATATACACATTGTACATTTAACCCAGTGTTATTTACAATTTTGTAATAGTTTTCCTAATTTCATCTTTTTACACTATTCTATTAACAGATGAATTTATAAACATTTATGTTTAGGTGTACGAGTAATACTAATTCTCTAATACTGTTTCAAAAATTTATCAAAAAAACAATTCAAGAACAATAATCAAATGTATCTTACAAAGTTCACCAGTTGTTTTTACATATTACCAGTTTTATCATAGCTCAATAAAACTTAAGTGCTATAAACCTCAGTATGCAGCACAATATCAATAGAAACAAAGTTATTAAACGCAGTCAGTTTAATACTTTCGGAATCACCCTATCAGCTATTGGATAAAATGGATCTGGTTATATTATATGTGCCACTGATACTAGTGACTGCAATGTACAAAATAATTATTACAAGTATACAATATTATACAGGTTTTGTACCCAAAAAGGAAGATCTTACTTGTGTAAAATAAGAATCTCAGATTTCAAGAAATAGATATCTATATCTCATCCTATTTTTATATACAAGAGAAAATACATCGTTGTTGAGAGACATTGTGCAGTAGTCAGTTTTGGGGCCAAGACTTGCAAGCTGCCAAAATTTTTCACTGAAGTGGCAATAAGTATCATTTTTTCAATTTTATGAGAAGTTTTACTTTCATAAATACACTACATTTATTATTTAAGAAACACCTGGTTCCATTTAAAAACTAACCAGAAAACATAATTGTTAGCAAGTGTGAATTAAACATCTTAAAATCAACAATCCTAGCAAATATAAATCTCGAAAAAAACAGATGTGTATGACTGTGTATTATTTTTCATACATACACAACAGTCATAGAAATGGCCAATTTCTCACTTTGTCATCTCTGCTGTACTGACACCAAGATATCTTTCAATCCAGTATGAGGACGACTGAGATAATTACATTTTTACATTCTGTTTTAACTAGACTTATTTATCATCACTCTCAAGAGCATTGTGTGTAGGTGGTGATCATGTTCCCAATTCTCCGAGTGACGGTCCGACACCTTTCTCTACCTGTTGGACAAAGGAAGCCTTTATATCAGATACACTATATGTATAAACATATCAATAAGTTACAATAGCTATATGAATATAAACTTTACTAATACCAACACGCTTAAAATTTGGAAATATTTCTTTTTACAAACAGTTATTCTATGAAAATATTGTTCATAGTGCAGCAGTTACATAGAGGTGTTATGTACTTGTAACAATATAAAAAAAATTGAGAAGAAATACAATTATTATTTACTTAAATTTTACATTAACAGTTATTTTAAATTACAAGTGATAATCTAAAATAGAACAAGTAAAAACAAACATGTAATCAAATCTAGCACTATTTATCTAATGATACACATTCCTCATACTTGGACAAAACTATTACTGTTGGAGGGGGACTTAAGAAATAATCAAATTACCTTCCAGTTTAATTTCTTAATGAAATTTTTAGATCAACTACTCTTAAGAAATAAGGAGCTATTACAGGACATAATATCATGAGAATTTCACCAAATATGTATTCAAAGGTGTCGGGGATTAGTTAACGAGGAGTTTTTGGTTGATCATAGTTTATTTTTCTCATATACAAGTACATACAGATATACGAAAACTGCACACGCAAGTTTTAAAAATAAACTGAATACTAACTACCCATTACTTGATTGAAGTTTATGTATGTGACACAATAATACGCAAGTTGATCACTTTACCAACTATCTTGTACCTTATAATAAAATACAAGATAGACATTACTGTCATTTGAATTCTTCAGTCTCAATATGGTATCATATTGTATTGGAACGACTGGGAGTATGTAGGCATAAACAAACAGCCACAGTCTTCAAAATTAAGCATATTGAGTTGTCCCACCATAGATGAAATATGAAGGAACAAGAATTTGATTTTACATTTTCCAGTTAGGATAATGTACAGCACTTTGGTAATAGTCTATTTCCAAGACTGCTGGCCATTCAGTATGTTCAGATAAGTGAGAGTTGTGCTAAGGATATTAGTTTAGTTGTAATTTGCAAGTAAGTACCTTAATACATGAAATTAATGTATATTTGTAGTCTGAGGTATGTGTGTGTGTGTGTGTTTATACTCCTGAACTTCCCTTGACAAAAACCCTGAAAAGTTTATAGAACCACGATCCTCTTCATAGAGGTTACTTACCAGCATTTTCAAAATTTGCTTGCGTCTGGAAAATAATATTTGGTTTTTGATGACTTCCAAAAAAAGAACTTCCACTACCAAACTGATCTACTTCATCAAACATTCCAAAATGTCCAGGAAAAGGTACTTCTTCTGCATGCATGCCAGCAAACATATCATCAAAGTTGAAGAATCTATTATTACCAAATTCAAACCTATATCCATTTCTTTCATGGTTATGGTTTTCATGTCCATTTTGATGTCCACTGTGAAAACTAAAAGCATCATCAAAATGATTGAAAAAACCAGTAAAGTCAAATGGTTGGGACCCAGGGTTAGTTCCCCCATTTTCAAAAGCAGCTGGTCCAAACTTGTCATATTTTTTCCTTTTATCAGGGTCAGAAAGAACTTCATATGCTAGAAAAAAAAATTATAAATCATTATTTTTTTGCAATTATTCATCATTGTTGCAATATACCAAATGTAGAGTATTTATAATTTGCTGTTGAAAGTTAATATTGTAGAATAATTTAAATCATTAACAAAATGTACAGTACCAATCACATCTGTAATAGTAACATTTAAATTATGTTATCAGAATCAAAGATTTTTAGAAATAGATGGTGTAATGGAGAAAAGTGCACTTCAATTACAAAATAATTTGTGATGGTTATTAAGAACCTGTAAATGTTATTTAACCAAACATGCATGGGATCAGTCCACTGAAGCAACCCCGTATTTGAGAAGACAAGTTGACGATAATTCTAAAGTTACTATGTATCTACCCAAAACATGGTAAGCTTTTAGTCAAATGAAGTTTGTTTTAAACAAAAATTCAGATGTGTTACAATTGTATTTGTATTCAAGATATGTCTGTGTAATGTTAACGTCAGTCTGACTTGGAAGTCAGAGTGCAAAGTGATGTTCATGTGAAGAATAAAAATACTTTTATTCATTGTACAGTTTGGATATTGTATTTGCATAACCTCTAGAACTTCCAAAATGAATATCTACAGTTTTTTTTTCAGTTCTTGTTTAATGCTCTTTTGAAAAAGATATACACAAAAGCCAGTTCAACTTCAAGACTAGAAAGATTAGGACTAACTTAGTTGAAACTAACTAGGATGCAATGAGCTGCAAGCTCACTGCAAATGTGAGCTTATTTAAGAGTAAAGAAAATATAGAAGTTATTATTACATACGATTTGGTAATTATAATAAATCATACATAACACTTGGCAGTTTGTGTGGGTATGATGTAGATTTTCATAATTTATGAGAAAATTTGTTAGGAGCTTTGGTAGTCTGCCAGTGATAGACACTATGTGGTAAAAGTTTAAGCTTTTGAAGCCTAGAACCTGGCTTGTTCTTTGACTAAAATCACTCCTACATCAGTTATAAACCTTAGAAATAGTTTGCCTGATGATGTGGTGGTGCTGTTAGTTTGAATTCTTTTAAATGTTTGTTGAATAGTTATATGGAAGTGGAAGGATGAATTCATTTGGGATTTGATATTTTACTTCATTGTTTTGAAGGATGGAAAAGTAACCTTTATAAGCTAAATGGCTAGTCAACACTTTGTCTTGTCTTTTTCCTTGAGACAAAAGAACTGGATGAAAGGAAAGGTGACTGGTTAACTTGAGTTACTGAACATTTTTTTGTCATAGTATATTTTTCAGTTTGCACTAAACTACAAGCATAGTTCCTACTTACAAATAAAATCTCCTGACATCTTTACAGCACACTAATTACAAAGTAGTAATGGATATTTCCTATTTTCATATACACATTGCTAAATTAAATAAGGTATAAACAAGTATATGCAAGTGTCATAAATATACCTTGGGCTATTTCAGTAAACCTTTCCTCGGCACTTTTCTCCTTATTCTTATCAGGATGGTATTTCACAGCCAACTTTCGAAAGGCTCTTTTAATTTCTCGATCAGATGCGTTACGTTTGACTCCAAGTAATTCATAGTAGTCGTTCTTGATCAACCCCCAAATGAGGTCAAAGAATACTATTGCTCCATACAAAGTGCCAAGAGAGAGTAATTTATATACATTCATTGTGGCCTAAAAAGGAAAAACAAATGATAGTATACATAATTTTAAGTCTTTAGTTACATGAAATGAGCAAACTTAACCTAACATTAAGCATCAAATAATTCATCCCCTTAAACAACATATAATAGTAGTTTTACACAACAACTTTAACATCTATAAATCAGTTTAGGCCCACTTCATTCTTTACTTAAATATCCTACAGACAGCTTACTCTTAAAATTCTTACTACGGATTCCAGAATTTTATATATTTGCTTCATCATAGCTAAATACTCATCAACTGATCAACAGTTGCATGAAAATTGTCTTTTTATGTAACACTAATATTCTTCTTATACAAAAAAAAAAACAAGCTATTTCTAGATTTACATAATTTTAAACTTGTTAAATTGATTTTCATCATCCTGTCTCAGTCATCATTAAGATTATTGAGGTTCTTTTGATAAAAAATAAAATTCTAGAGTAGCTATTCTTCCCAATATCATCCCCAAATTTATGTGTCCACAAAGTCATCCAAATTAGTAAAACCAATAATGAACAACAAAGGTTTCAACACGTATTCTATTGGTTGCATTATTGTAACTGCAAAAGCACTAATTATTCTCTGCCTTCTCTCATTGAGAAGATTTTTTGTACACTAACGTTTTGTCATTTCTAAAAACATTAACTCACTAAATAATATTTTTTGTTGTAGAATATCAAAGGTTCTTTGAAAAACAAAGATATAGAACACCAATCTAAATGACCAACTGATTTTTAATGAATAACTGCCAACTTAAAAATATGAATCAACTTAAATGATATAACAATGTTTAGGGACAACAAGGGACCCACTGATCCATCTCAGTTGTCTCATCTTCCAAAACTATTAAAAAAAAAATCTTAAAGCCAACCTTTATTCATATAGTTATCAAGCTTTCTCTTAAACTCACTTAAATTTACTGCCTCCACAACTTCCAGAGGCAAAACACCCTGTTAGAAAAATAAAACTGTCTTAACTGAAGATGACTTCTAACTTACCAAAATTTATATTTGTGTCCCCTAGTCCTACCTTTTCCACCATTTAGTATGAAAAAAGATGATGTATCAACACTAACAGTTCCTTTTATAATCTTAAACACCTCAATCAGATCCCCTCTAACACATCTTTTTTTCAAGAGAAGGTAATTTCAAAGATCTTAATATGACAAACCCTCCATCCAAACATAATTCTAGTAACCCTCCTCTGAACCCTTTACAACAATTCAATGTCCTTCCTAAGGTAAGGAGCCCAAGACTGGACACGATACTCCAAATGTGGTCTAACCAATGACCAATACAATGAAATTATAACTTCTTTAGACTTATATTAAATGTTTCTGTAAATACAACCTATAATCCTATTTACCCTACCACTAGCCAGAGCACACTGCTTTGATAGTATAACAAAGTGATCAACCATTACACCAATATCCCTTTCTTTCATGACAGTTAAGGTTATTACTATCCACATTATACTTATAATTCAATTTATGATAACACAGATGCATTATCTTGCATTATTATAATTAAAACTTATCTGCCATTTATTTACGGAATATGACTTTACATATTTAAAATACAAATATACTATAGTATTGTACATTTTAATATCCTTTTACAATATTTAAAATGTTTTACAAGATTAACTTAGTATTTTTACGTTATAAGTGTTAAATTTAAAGCATTTCTTTTTCAAATTTACTTATCTCCAACTTTTATTTTTGAAGCACGAGCCGTACTGTCCTATAAATTTAGAAGTAAACTTTTTTAGAACAAAATACCCTGTGAAAAGTGCAGGTAGATTCTTTTACACATATATTTCTGCACGACTAACAATAATAATAATTTCACACAAATCCTAGCTTCCTAAGGTTCCTTATTTCTGACGTTTCTATAACATAAAGTTACAAATATTTTATAGGACGTTAACTTAAAACAGTGCAATACTAATATTAATAATGAATATTTTCTGTTTTCATATACACGTGATTAATTAAATAAAATAAAAATCGTATAAGGTATAATCCAATTACAAATACATTAAGGATCACTACGTACGATTTTGCTTTAGTTAAAATTACTTTACCTTTTCAAATTCACGAACATTATATACCAGAAGAACTCGGGATACTTTTGCTGTTTGTAGTACAGAGTACAATAGAGAATCACTAAATTCTCTCGTATCTTCTACAACCTAAGTCATATGTGCTCTAATTCTTTTATGTATGTGTATGTATGTAAGTAACGGGACACGAATCTAACTGCTATTGGACACTGTGAGACTCGGTGGTATGTTACGTCACTCAAAAGAAAACAGTACTAATACTATAACCAAAATTCAACAAAAAGACTATTTTTAAACATATTTCACTATTAAAAAATACTAAAAATATATTTAAATTTATATCTAAAAATTGCTTGTGTTTTGTAACGAAAGTGAGAAAACAAAAAACAGAACAAACGTATAGATACTTTTCAAGCTTATGAACTATGAAATTTGTATTTTCCTCTTACTCTTAGGATCTAACAGAACACACACACACACATATTATCATTAAAAAATTAGTCTTCCGAAGCAATAAAAATCATCCGAAGTTATCATCCACTGTAAAAGCACGCTACAATATGCAATTTTTGACCTAAATAAAACAAGTAAAAGGAAAACAGATGAGGCCAGAATGAATTCGCCCAAACCCATGAAATCGTACACCTCACACATCGTCAAAAGACTAACATAAATGAACTGAATAAAAGGGAAATTCACTTGTAGGTTACGGGTGTTTGTTTATCCTACCTTTATGCCCTCATACCACATTTCGTTTAGAAGTCAGGGTAGAAATGATACGATCCTTAGACATTTGTTTTGAACTTCTCCTCGACTTATTACAGCTTTCTTTAATGTGGTATTTCGCGTGTACAGATAATCGTTATATATACTGATATAATGTGTTCTATTATTTTCATTGGGCAGTTCTTTTGAGTTATTTGATAAAAGTAATTGTACGTCCAGTCCACGTAACTATAATGAATTAATTCATTGATTTAATAACGTTTCCTACATTACAGGCTTCGTTCACTTGCAAGTCTAGGTTTACAAACAACGTTTCAACATAAATTCTGAGACTAATGGTACATACCGCTATCTAACTTGCAGAAGTTCCTCATTGATCTATGGGCAGTGTTGAGCTCGTTACCAGAAAAATAATGACGTTACTTTGACCATTACCTGCTAAAAATAGTGTCATTACCCAAAACATTACTTATCTAAAAATGTAAGGAGTATAAGGACTCGTTAATCGTTCTTTCTCAAAGAGATATCTGTATTCTATATATAAAGCAAGCACTGTGTACATCGTATATTGTAATGTTACGACAGCTG